CTCACTTCTACCCAGCATCCACAGGAACTTGTCGTCCTGGTCAGTACCACAGGTCAAGTTGCCCACAGTTTGACATGGAGTAGGGGGAGTCATTGGTACTCTGGGAAGTTAGACCTGGGCTTCAGGAGACTGACAGGGCCCATCCACAACTCCTACCCTGACTGTCCCTAACATGCCCTGTCTGTGCCCCTCTATGGGAACCTCCTTGCTTACATCCTCACCCTACCTCTGTGTTTCACCCCAGCCCTGATCACTAGGAACTCAGGCCAGTGAGGGAGGGCCCCAAGGCTAGTGAACTGGTTACTCAGGGGTTACTGTTTGCTTACCTGACCCAAACCTGTGCCCACAGCTCTCCAATGACCTGCAACTGCGGGGGATATGGGAGCCTTTCCTGAGACCACCCAGAGATACCCACCGCAGGTCTGCTCAGAGTACTTCACGTTGCTCCCTACTACACCCTGCCCCCAGCCACTCACCGCTACTTACAGGTGAGAGCCTGAAGCACAGAATCAAAGGATAAGCCTTGGCCCTCGCCTTGGATAGCTGACCTTACCCTAATAAGGCCTATGTGCCCCACCACTCCACCTGTATGGGGCCACGGCCTGGGTCCCTACTGGCCATCAATGCCCACCCTTCCACCACATGGTACCTGTCTAGAGGGCCCCATTCCAGTCTTGGTTTCTGGCTTCTATAGCAGTCGATTCCTTCCTTGGCACCCCAGGCCAAACCAGATGTCAGTTATGTGACTACGAGCTGACCTCAGCCAGGTCCAATGACAGCACAACTGTTTACCTGGACTGGCTTCCTAACTCCAGCTCTTCCCAGATGGGCACCTCGCTTCCCAGGCCTCAGGTCTCCCTATTTGTAAAATAGGTAACCAGGCAGCTAGAGAGGCAGCCCTACTCTCCCAGAGGAGCCAGGTGCTGGGCAGGGCAGGGAGCATCTACAATTTCCCTTACTGGAGCTGTCAAGGGCCAAGTGCAGGCAACCAACCACAGACCTACCTCCTCTGAATGTCATCTATTCTCAGGACAGAGCACCCAGATTATTCCCTATCCCTAGAACCAAAGATAAAAACTGGAGAATGTGTATAGCATGCAAGCAAGCTCTCTGTCTTTCTGTCTGTGCACATGCATGTTGAGATGGGGTCTCATGTAGCCCAGGCTGGTCTCACACCTGTTATAGAGTCAAGGATGACCTTGAACTCTTTTATCTTCTAGCCTTGAACTTGCAAGTGCTAGGCTGGAGCAAAGTCTCTGTGCAGAGGGACCCAGGACGACAAACCTGGGTCAAGAACCCATTCTGCCTCCTTTAGAAGCAGCCCAGTATCCACAGCCCCACGGTGGAGTGTGGACTAGAACCTCTCCTTCCACGGGAGAACTGAGATCTGTGGTTGGCCATAGATGGGACTTTAGAAGCTTAGAGGAGATCCCCAAGAAGCTACTACACAGCCTATGAGTCCCACTTTGGCCCAGCACTCATCCCTCATCCTCTGTGGTGGACACAAGTCAGGCCTGGGCTTAGCAGGCAGCTGGGCAGGGCTCCAAGCATTCACATTGCAGGAGAAGGGGCCATCACGCTTTATCCAGGCTTTGCATACAACACTCAACTCATGGAGGTTTCTCTCCCCACTTTTTTTTTCTTTTCTTTTTTTTTCTCTTTCTAAGACAGGGTTTCTCTGTGTAGCTTTGGAGCCTGTCCTGGATCTCACTTTGTAGACCAGGCTGGACTCGAACTCACAAAGATTCGCCTGGCTCTGCCTCCCGAGTACTGGGATTAAAGGCATGTGCCACCACCGCCCGGCTTCTCTCCCCACTTTTACCCCTCAGTTAACCTCAGCCTCTCTGAGGCAGTCCCCAAGCCCAGCCCACTCAAAGGCCCCAGACTTTCAGTTAGATGGCTTGGTGGCCTCACCCTTGACCCTCCCAGCAGACTGTAACCACCAAGCCCTGCACCCCCACTTCCTAGAAAAACAGCTGACACATGGTAAATATCAGTGCAGTAAACATCCTGCATATCAATGAACAAACAGGACACCCACAGGCAGGCTGTCCTGCCTCTCTGGATGTCAGCCTCTTCATCTGCCAGATGACATGGCATGTCCTGGCCCAGCTGCCCACAGCCCCTCAGTGGGAAGGGGACATGGAGCCAAGAAGTGCCCAGTAGATGAGAGGCTGGACGGAGCTGAGGAGAGGGGCAGTGTTGGGCATTCAGAACAGAAGAGGTCCGAGAAGGACCGGGCATTGGTGAGAGCGAGCAATTACTGACTGAGAGCTTCCATTAGAGGAAGGTGAAGCTGGCTCCTTTGAGCTTCTGGGGAAGCTGGGAACCTCCAACACTCACTGAGTCACATCCCACTCTACCTAATGACAGGCATCTTCAGGAACCCAGAGGCCAGTGGGGGATGAATCTGACAGGGGCTCCTGCCCCTCAACTCTCTGCTACCCACCAGCCACGTAGCCTCCCACACCCAAAAAGGTGGCCCTGTCTCATCAGCAGTAGGAAATGAGAGAGAACAGGCTAATTTAAGAGTCATGCCAAGCCGGGCGGTGGTGGCGCACGCCTTTAGTCCCAGCACTCGGGAGGCAGAGGCAGGAGGATCTCTGTGAGTTCGAGGCCAGCCTGGGCTACAGAGGGAGTTCCAGGAAAGGCGCAAAGCTACACAGAGAAACCCTGTCTCGAAAAATCAAATCAAATAAAAAAATAAACAAAAAGTGCCTTTGCCGGGCGGTGGTGGCGCACGCCTTTAATCCCAGCACTCGGGAGGCAGAGCCAGGCGGATCTCTGTGAGTTCGAGGCCAGCCTGGGCTACAGAATGAGTTCCAGGAAAGGCGCAAAGCTACACAGAGAAACCCTGTCTCGAAAAACCAAAAAAAAAAAAAAAAAGAGTCATGCCAAGGCCAGCTCTGCCAGGAACTGGTTTCCACGGCTGTGGAATGAACAGCGGGGTGCTCCCTGCCCTAGTAATGCTGCAGCATAGCATGGCGGGGGGGGGGGGGGGGGGGGGGGGGGGCACCTTGAGGTTGGGTAGTGGTTTAAGAATGGGTGTCTCAAGCCGGGCGGTGGTGGCGCACGTCTTTAATCCCAGCACTCGGGAGGCAGAGGCAGGCGGATCTCTGTGAGTCTGAGGCCAGCCTGGGCTACAGAAAAGAGTTCCAGGACAGTCAGGACTGTTACACAGAGAAACCCTGTCCTGGAAAAAAGAAAAGAAAGAGTGGGAGCTTCTCAGTTTACTGGGGCCAAGGTCAAAGGGGATTGAGAGTTGAAAAGGAACAAAAGGAACATTCTGGACCCCTGCAGTGGTATTGGGGGGAAGCTCAGCTCTCTGAGGCATCCTGGAGTCTGAACTCAAAGTCTGGATTCAAAGCCCAGCCCTTCTCCACCCCCACCACCAAGTGACCTAGACAGGCCACCTGATGATACATTGAGCCTCAGAGTTCCTGTCAGCCACCCTCTCCCTTCACAAGGACTAAACGGGATGACATCTAGGGAGCCTTGACAAAGACGCACCTTACGAGTTCCTGAGATGGGCTCAGTACTCCCTCCACATGTAGCCTCACACCCTATGCCTTACAGGATAAGATCCCTCTTTTTCTGAGACCCCAAAGCCCTGCTCACTGGCTTCCCTCTGCCTCTCTAGCAGCCCAGGGTCACTGCAATGTCCCTATCTGGCCACCTTCCACTCTATCCCCATTGCTCATGGCACGTCACACCCAGAATGAAACCTTGTCTGCTCTGGCTGTCCACAGACAAGCTGGCTCCCGGGTCTTCACTACGGTCACCTTCCTCTTCCCTACCCCACCTCCCCAGGACAAGCCCCAGCCCGGAGTCCTCACACTGGCTGTTGCTGCCACTGGAACACCCTTCTCTCAGCACCCTTTTCTGTTGCCACTGGCCCAAGGCCTTCCTGACTGACTCCTGACCCCAACAACACTCTCTCTCTCTCTCTCTCTCTCTCTCTCTCTCCAGGTCTCAACCCCACAGTTCATCCTCGAGGGAGGTGCTAGGCCTTGTTTATGTCTCCCTGCCTTCAGGAATGTCAACCACAAGAGAGAAGGGTCATTTCTGCTCCCCCACCCCACCCCCCATGACACAGCTTGGCTGAGCAGTAAACAGCTGCTCAGGACTGGAACTAAACAGTCCAAAGACCCAAGGAACCCTGGAGAAAGGGCTCACATACAGAGAGACAAGTGCTATCTGGCTCAGGGTGCTCAGGGGACGGGCCCAGACACTAAGTGCTCACACCCGAGGGAAGACCCTCCCGACTTCAGTGCCAAGAAAATCCCCTCCCCTAGCCGGGCGGTGGTGGCGCACGCCTTTAATCCCAGCACTCGGGAGGCAGAGCCAGGCGGATCTCTGTGAGTTCAAGGCCAGCCTGGGCTACCAAGTGAGTTCCAGGAGAGGCGCAAAGCTACACAGAGAAACCCTGTCTCGAAAAACCAAAAAAAAAAAAGAAAATCCCCTCCCCATCCCCCTCCCCCTCCCCGGAAAGTCCCCTCAACCCCCACTGCTGAGATGAGCAGCCTTGCCCCAGCAGTGCCAGCCCCTCCCACGAGGCTCCAGACCTCCAAGAACAATGTACAAAGGGCCACTTTAGCTCCATCTCTAGCCCAGAGGGCTGGAGGAGGGAGGGAGGGGGGGTTCCCTACCCCTCCACTGTCCTCTCAGGACCTCTCTGCTAATGGAGTCAGGCCCCTGGCAAGGCAGCTTTGTTCCTGGCATTGTCCTTGCGATGGAGAGGTGGGGCAATGCACAGGGTGTGGCACAGGCCCATCTGTATGGCAGGCAGGTGGTAGGGGCCTGACTGCCAGCTGGGCTACGGGGGAGCAAAGTGCAGAGCTGAAAGAGGGATCTGGGCCCAGCAGCAAGGGGGAAGGGAGCATGGGTGTGGGTCGCTCAGCCTGGCTCCAGGAGGTGAGCTTAACCTCTCTCTGCAAGCAAGCTGCAAAGTGATCTAGACGGTTATTCGGACAAACAAGCTGATAACCTATGACCCATGCCTGGTACGGATGGAGGAGGCTTTGGCAACTTCTTTATGCCGGTTATCTTTCCTTCCGGGGCCACTCAGTGATATGACTAACCAGGCAGCCACACACGCCAGGTCCCAGGAGCCTCCCTCAGTCCTTCCATTCCACAACCAACTTCCTGGACTATCATCTCTCCTTTGTCCCATGGCCTGCAGGGGATTAAAAAACAAAAAACAAACAAACCCCACAAAACCTTCCACCTAATGCTGGCTGCTACAGTCTCCCAGTATCTCCCAATTCCTACCTGTTACAGGGTCCCCCCAGCTGGCAGGCCCTGCCCCCTCCCCTAAACTTCTCCAGTCCAGGGGCTCAGTTGCCCTCCCCCAGAGGCTCTTTCCTATTAACCCAGCCATTTTGGTTACAAGCCCTTTTGGGCCCATTTTGGCCACGGCTCCAGGTTCCTCTCTCTTCCCCGCTCCCCGCTTCTCCTCACACGGCCCAGCTCAGTCTTGCTGGTCATGTTCAGTCTGGACCTTCCCAGATGCCTCCGACGATGGTCTTCCTCATACCTACAATTAACCTTCTCCGCCATGCCTAGGAGCAGCCCCGTCCTCCTCGTATTTCTTTTTTCCATTCAAGCACTCACCAAGAGGACGGCAGGGTCTCACTGAGGGACTTCCAACCAGGTCTCCAGGAACCAGCCAGGCTGGCATTAATCTTGGACCCCATGATCAGCAATCAGGTGACACCAGGATGACAGTAGTGCGGCTCCTCTGAGGGGGTCCCAGTCCCAGGAACTTGCCCGCTCTTCTTCTTGGCCCCAATGCCCTTTGGGGCGTCACCCCGCCCAGCCACACCTGAAGCCTTTGATAGGACTGTGGCATTCTCAGGTCTAACTGGCAGCTCAGAAAAGGTAACAAAGGCCCTAAAGTTCCCTCCCATGTCACCTCAGGCTCTGAGCCCCTGGAGAAGTGGCTTCCCTACGGTTCCCTTCCAGAAAGAGGGACAGTGCAGCACAGAGTGAGCCACGCAGGGCTGGGAGGGGCCATGGGTGTGGGGAACACAAAGGTCCTGGCCTTCAGGTAAGCACTAAAGAAAACGGGAATTTTTAATGGGAAAGATATATAATCTGCTTTCCCATATAGAAGGCTGGGAATGGAGGTGAGTAATAACCTGGTGGTCTATAGTATCTGTAGGGCCAGGCCACGCCCAACCCCCACAAGCAGGACTGGAGATGGCTAACAGTCTAGGTGACCTGTGTATTATCTGTATGGCAAGAGGCTCCCCCAAGCTCTCCCACAACCAGGATTTGGAGGTGGCTAAATAGCCCAAATGACCCCTACACGATCTGTACGACCAAGACCACACCAGAGCCCTCCCAGGCCCTTAAGCTAATACATGTAGCCTAGCTCTAGAACCCACCTTCTTGGAAGAGGTGACATGCACTTTAAGTTTTAATGCAATCGTGCCTCCTTGAGATCTATCACACCAGGGAGCGTTTATTCAAATTGTGCTGCACTTAAATATGTCCATAATAAACTGCCCAGTGTCAGACTCTAGAAGCGTGAACCAGCCCAGCTGAGTCACGTTGAGCTGACTTCCCTTCTCTCGTGGATTGCTACTCTGCCCTCTGTAGCGCTAGCGCTTTCAGGGACCCTCACACGCGGGGATGAAGAATGTGGGAAATCAGGAGGAACGGCTGGAAGAAGCAGGTTAGAATCCTCCTCATTGTGTCCACATTGCTGTTCCTATTGTGTGAAAAAAATGGTCCCTAACTGGGAGGATGCAGCAGGGGGCAGGCCTGTGGTGCTCCCCTGTGTCTAGGCACCTGAGCATCACAATGAACACGGTCCTTGTAGAGCAAGTGAGAGCTGCTGGCTCTAGGCCTCACTATGTTCTGAGTTTCCTCCTTCCCAAATACTCTGGACCACCCGTTTAGGCTCTGCTCTCTGCCCGAGGCTCTCCTGAGATGCAGGCCTGTCTGGCAGCCAGCTGTGTAGACCCTAACAGGGGGTGTTCTTGCAGGAATGCTGCCAGTTCCACACACACTTTCTAGTCCAATGAGTGAAAACTGTAACTAAGTACTTTCCCATGCTATCAGAGCCTCTAAAGGATGACAGGGCAGGACCCAAGGCACAAGGGAGACTCAATATTATGGGAGGGTATTTCTGAGTGTTGGCAAGGACTAAGGGGCAGTCACTCCAGCAGCTCCTCCAACAGGAGCCTTGGGTTAGGATCTAACTGTCTCCCCCGGGGACACAGGAGGCCATCCATCATCAAAGGGCATGGATGGAGCCGGAGCGATATCTCAATAGTTGAGAACACATACTGACCTTGTAGAGAAGCCAAGTTTGCTGCCCAGAATCCATGCTGGGCAACTCACAATAACCTGTAACTCCCTCTCCTGGGGCTCTAACACCTTCTTCTGGCCTCACCTACACACACATAATTTAAAATAAATAAACATTTTATTTGTTTATTTATTTGTTTGTTTGTTTTTTACAAAAATCAGGGCTACCATGCAAGGGCTTTAGGGGCTAAGCCCACTCACTACTCATGACTTCCATGAGACCACCACCCAGCTAATTCTTGCCCCATCAATTACTTAACTTTCTCACCTGGAAGGCCCAGTAAATGCTAAAAGGTAGGCATCTAAGTGCTTACATACCCCAGTAACTCTGAGAGGTAGAGGCAGGAGGATCAGGAGTCCAAAGTCATATATCAAGTTCAAGGCCAGCCTGGGCTACATGTGACCCCGTCTCCAAAATAAAAACAAAAAAAAAGGGAAAGGAAAAAAGAAAGGAAATTGTTTCCTTGCACCGCACACACTAGAGCCCCTATTAGGGGCTCCCACAGCCAGCCACAGGGCAGCTGCCGGCAGCTGAAGGTACCAGAACCAGACGGAGGGAGGCGGTAGCTGTAATCGGGGAATTTCTCTTCCCTCTTGCCTTTACAAGACGAAACTTCGTTTCTCTGTTATGACGGTTTCTTATACACTTTAGAAAATCAAAAAACAGCCAAAGAGGGGCTGGAGAGATGGCTCATTGGCTAAGAGCACTGACTGTTCTTCCAGAGGAACCAGGTTCAATTCCCAGCACTCACATGGCAGCTAGCAACTATCTTTAACTCCAAGATCTAACACTCTCACTTAGAAATACATGCAGGCAAAACACCAATGCAAATAAAATAAAAATAAATAAATTATTTAAAAAAAAAAACAGCCAAAGAAAGTGGGCAGCATGGCCACTCTCCTGCCTGAGTTCTCACAGGCTCCCCCCCCCACATACACACTTTTTTTTTTTTTTTTTTCTGGAATAAACCATCTCCATAGATTTCTTGCCAGCTTTGGAGCAACACGCATTTTTCTCTATCAGACTTTGTCCTTCTGCACAGGACAGGATGGGAGCTCAGGTCCTGGAAACTCCATCTGACTCACTCCTCATCCACCCCAGACCTGACCCAGACCCTGTGGAGAAACTCCCTGGCTTGGGGACAGGGACAGTACAAGGAATATAATGGTACAGAGAGCTCTGGGCTCTCACACATCACCGGGACCTTTAGCCTCTTCTTGTGGAATGCTGAATAAGTCCTGAGTGCCACAGACCTCCGTGTTCCTCCTGTAAAATGGGCAGTTTTATGTGGCCATGAAGCCTGGAGATTGCCAGCTCAGCCTCTTCTCTTGGCTGAGGTGACAATCACCTGGGCTCAGCTTCACTTTTCCTATACGTTCAGAAGCTGAGCCAGAAAGTCTGTCCCATCGCCCTCTCCTCTTGCTGTGGAGACACAAGGAACCACAGGTAAGCCTTGTTGCTGGCCCTCCACCCTCCAGTTCTGGCCAATCCTCTTGTTTTGCTCCAACAGTGCTTCCAGGAGGCTCCCTCCTCACTGCACAATGCCCTCGGCACATGTACCCTGCCTTCCCCGGACAGACAGACCACACAGCCTTGAGCAATATGGGCCATCCTTGCTGGCCCTGGGGAGTAGACCTAGCTTTCTGTAGGAGCCTCAATGACACATCAATGAACAAAGGATACGGAAAAGAGGGGGGACAGGGCTCTGGACAAAGGGACAAAAGCCAGCAATGAAAACAAGGTCCCGGGTTCTTTTTCTTCCCCCCAGACAGGGTTTCTCTGTCTGTGTAATAGCCCTGGCTGTCCTGGAAATTTCTAGGTAGACCAGGCTGTCCTTGAACTAAAAAAAAAATCCACCTGCCTTGACCTCCTAAGTGCTGAGACGAAGGGCATGGGCCACCACTGCCTGTCTTCAGCTCCTGCATTTCTAAAGTGAAGGTACTGGTACACTCACCCCAAGAATGTGAGGCACACCATTCATCCACAATGCACGTGCCTAGGGACCGTGGTTTCTGTCACATTCTCCCCAGCAGTGGGCACAAGTCACCAGTCTGTACTACAGTACTGTGGTGACATGTGAGGCCCTAGTCAGCCCTTGGATGCCTGGTCTCTAGAATCCCCTGCATGGAAATGTGCCAGGTGGCCTTTGGAGTGCATTTTCCGCCCAAGGCTGGACCCAATCACAGAGTCCTTTGGTCATTCTACCAGACCATTCTACAAAACGGTAACCTCCTGTTCAGCTCCTATGACCTCTTCCAAGTTAGTCACACTCCAGCTCACGCTCTGGGAGCACGCAGTATGACAGTGGACTGCCTTGAAATGGTTTCTGAACCCAGGCTATGACAAGTCAGGAAGCAGAGCCGTCCCTCCTCCCCACTGTGGAATGCTTTGAAAGCTGCAAAAAGAATACCATGAGCAGGGCAGACTCTTCCTACAGCACCTCTCCCTGCTCCTGTGACGGCTCCAGCTTGAGACTCAGTTTCCACACAGTGAAAAGAGAATTATCCTGGCACCACCGCCGGGGACTCAAGAGATACGAGAATGATACCACCCAAGAAAGACATGCACTGGACCCGAGACATGGCTCTGCAGTTGAAAGCCCATGCTGTCCTTGTAGAGACGAGCGCTGTTCCCAGCACCCACATCAAACAGCTCATAAGTACCTATAACTCCAGCTCCCAGGAATCCAACACCCTTTTCTGGTCTCCTCACATACTTGCACTCACGTATACAGACATCCATGCATACAAATAATTAAAAAACAAGTCAGGTGTGGTGATGCATGCCTTTAGTCCTTTAATCCCAGCACCCAGGAGACAGAGGCAGGCAGATCTCTGAGTTTGAGAGCAGACTGGTCTACAGAGTGAGTT